CAAGACCACCGCACTTTTGAATTCGCATAAAAAGTTATTATGCGGTTTTAACGAACAATTGGGCCGTCTTTTCTGGAAGGAAGGCTCGTTGAGTGAAGCTCGCTTTCGCATCATGTTATCCCTCAACGGCTATGCTGTTGGGTCGTTCCTAATTGCGCTACATCAGCGTTATGGTTTACGTTCTGAGATTGACTTGTTTATTACACAGGCTGTACTCCAATTTCTTTGCATGCGACAACCTTCGGCTGCTATGCTGGCTTTCTACATATATACGAGGGGTCATCCTCGGCTAGAACCTGGTCCACCATTCACCCGATTTCCGCTGCTCAATTTTATTTGGTTTTTATTGTTAGTCATTGACAGGAAGGAAAGCTTTTCTGCGTTCTGCGTACTTTGCGAAAAGTACCGCCCTCAACTCAATAGGGATTCGACATACGCTACCTATCTGGACATAATAAGCCGTCAATATTTTTCCACTCCTCCCAGTGATACGAATAATATGTTTTCGCGTTTATTGAAAATGTTTGGCGGTCCCGACGAAGATGCGGATGATTTGATTACGGCCGGCCCATCTGAAGTTGCCGGTCCTTCTAGACTTTCTGGTGATGTGCAGCGTGGTGCTAACTCATCCACACGCTCTGCAGGTTCCGCAGCATCCATGGAGGATGTTGAGTGATTTTACCCGATTCCCATAGCACCACTTATCGCGATCGCGCTTTCTGATTGTTTTCTTCACTTATTGACGGAGACGGTTTTCGATTCCCCTCCTGAACACGGAAGGCATACAGACCATTATTTTGGTCACCGCTTTTCTGAACAGTCAATTTTCATCTCCACCTCTCCTCTCTTCCCGCATCCCTTGGCGTTTGCCTTAGTCTCTTACCAGCAAGGGCATGTTTAAGGGTCTGCCACAAATGCTTTTCAACATTGGAAAATATTTTCAAATAAATATTGGTTTTCTGCTTTCCTTCTTTTCCATATGTAAATTCCATCATGAACGCTTGTTTGCCAGTTCCCGGTACGTATGATTAAAAAATTCGAAATTCGCAGAATTTCATGGAAGACAATTACGATGCTTTTGTTTCGATTCGGTTTGTGCTAAACAGTAGAAAGGGCTTAATCACATAAATACGATCAGCTGTTGTTCGTTTGAGAAAATCGGTATCCGGAACCTCACATAAACTCATTTTATACCACGCATGTAAAGTGGGTGACGTTTTCTAAAAGTGTAAACTATCGCAAGGTGTCATTTAGAACGAAACCCTATTTTAGACGAATAACGTGAATACAGAAAGTGGAACTGTTATCGTGCGGTATAAGCATTTGTGTTTTATATCGTTTCGTCATTGTGCGTTGTCAGCGTCATCACGTTATCGACAGAAGTATGTCAATAAGCATTCAAATAGTTCTATTCACTCAGATTTCTCGCAGTAAATTTATTTTGGGAATTCTCACGTTGCGCATACGGTAAACATTTTCTGTTCTGGCATTGTTTTCCTTTTACTTCCTTTTATGAAACATATGATCTGAAAAAAAACATTTTAAGGCTGTTGCAACTGACCAACGAAATGGCTGCCATACGATACGAAGCAGATAGAGGAAATTGGGCAATCGGGTTAGGATGTGGGCACACGACCTCCGGGCGCTTGACCACCGCCACCTGATGCTTACAATACGCACTGGTCCTTTAACCAAGGGTGTGACATAGTGTTCAGATTACCCTCACTGTTCGGTTTGGAGATAATTCGGAGGAAAGATACAATAAATCATTCGTGTTTGGGTATATTTCCCAGCGTAGTGTTGTCCAAATTTTGTTCAGTAATCGAATGAGTATCACGCATTGGGTATCGGATAACGGGAAGTCGAGATCGGGTAGCAACACGAATCCTTAGTTACTATTATATTATGCATGCAATTTTCTTCTTACTTTTTAATTTTGTTTTTATAGCGTCTTACTTTTTCGGTTTTGTGATACTAAAACAATTCCCGCACTCTACTTAGTGTTGTTGCAGCGTGCACGAGAAACCACAACGAGAAGGGCCCAAACGTTAGGGTTTATTCGACATACAGCGTACGTATGGAAACTGAAAAGGGAGAGAAAACATGAGTCAGAAAAGCGAAATACAAAGTATTATGTCATTCCGGTTAGCAGTTGAAGACTCGGTTTACAACAAATCAACGTGTGATGAATGTGATGTATGTGTGATGTATGTTCGCAAAATTGAGGGCGTTTAAAAGTGTTCACTAAGCATCTCTGTTTCGTAAATAATATGGTCGCACACGTTTTTGCTGTTGTATGAGGGTATCTAAGTTATCGGGGAGAATGGATGTGTCGGTAGTGTCATGTTGTGTGGGTGTTTCACCGGATACGTTAGTAGTGTCAGTTTCGGGTATGTTCACTAAAGGTTCCTCAGTGACATTGCGAGCTGTTATGAAATGCATCATACCAGAGACCCCTGGGTGGCACAAGGAAGCATGAGGTTCTCTGAGGTTCGATCCGGCGAGGAGAGCTCGACAGAAAGATCGACTAAGTGCGTTGGCGGCCGTATTTTGCTTTCCAGGTCTATACGTAACATCGAAGCTGTAGGGGGACAGTTCCATTTTCCATCGTAAGATTTTATCATTCTTGACTCTTCCGCGGTGCTGGTTTCCGAAAATGAAGGAGACAGACCACTGATCGGTGTTGAGTTTGAAATGCTTGCCGAGTAGCATGTGACTCCATTTCCGGACGGCTTCGGTTACGGCGTACGCTTATTTCTCAGCTGCTGAATGCTGTCTCTTTCCTTGAGTTAATGTCCTAGGAAAGAACGCGTTAGGAAAGATTTGGTTATGTACCATTGAATGGATTTTGTAGGACAAGTTCGAAATCCATGGCGAGTAGTAGGAGAACCAAGGTTCTTTGTTGTGATTTCAGATTTGTAGGTGAGGGCATTTCTTGCAGCGGCTTCAACCGATCAGGATCCGGTTTGATGTTGCCTTTCGCTCTCTGAAAACTAAGCAGCTTGATTTCCTTCACACCTGTGATACTTTTGCCGTCGTTAAAAGTTAAACCATATTTTTGGGGAGCGTTCAAGAAATCCCACAAACGGTATTCCACGTGAACAAACTTGTCTCTCAGCTTTTCAAGAGAGATTATCTCATCGATAGCCCTCAAGAAACATGAAACGTCGTTGGTAACTCCGAAAGGAATTTAGAAATCTGATTTCTGAAGTGAGGTTATATGTAACGAATGAAGAATCTTAAAGACCATCACGTAGAGACTGCACATTGATGTGATGGCTTGTGCACCTCCCTGATCCAACGAGCTACAGAGGATGGCTTTTTTCAAGCCCAAGATCTAATCATGCCTGGAAGGTCAATGGGTAGAGGTCAGACGAAGTCCAGTCTCCTGGTTTTCCAGGTTGAGGGTTTAACTAGAATTTGCGTTTTGGTCGGTAAAAAATGATGTAGGAGTAATCGATTCAAGTAAATGGGCCTCGACTACGCTTCACCCGCTGCCCTGCGGCTAGGTTCTTGCGAGAACTAAAAGCTTTGGTTGAGAACCCTAATCGTTCTCCTGCTTAGTGGCTGGACACCCTGGCAGTACCCGTCCATCAAACCCCAATGCATAAACAAACTAAAAATAATTCCTTTCTGCATCGGTCGTCACTTAGGACAATGAGAACTGCGCTGCTTATTTCATTGGGCGGATAACTTTTCCTACTTAGGTAGTTGCTTGACCAATGACGCTAGCGCAGCAAAGGAGGTAATCGCCCGCATTTTCAACGCTCGAGTAGCACAAGCAGGACTGAAACATCTTTGGCGTACATACGACGTTTTACTAAAGTTGTGCTGGCGTTCCTTCAGTTCTGCTTTATGGTTGTGAGATCTTGAATCTGCGAGTCGAAGATATACACCTACTAGAACTTTTGGGTTATCGGTGTTTACATCGTTTAGCCCATGTGGGATGGGGCGAACGGGTTAGTAATTTGGAGGTATGCCGTCATGTGTTTGGAAGTCCATTAGGTGTAAACCTCCTAGCACATCGATTTCAGATTAGTAGGCTTCGCTGGCTAAGACACGTATCGCATATGCCCATCTGTCGTCTGCCGTACCGCGATTTATTCGCTGTAGCCGTTCCGGGCTGAAGGAAACCACGTGGAGGTCAACAGATGACGTGGACACGAGACATGCATTGAGCCACTAGGTAGAGTAGGTTGCACGCGTCTTCCAGTTTGGGGTCCGAAGGACTCCGTAACTGGTTGGTTGGAGACATCGAAGGATATGTCAGTGAACTGACAGCAGTGGCGTTCTTGTTGTCATTTCTTATCAGACCGGAATGCTTGAAATTATATTTATGCAGAGTTCGATTGTGTACTCTGTGTTGACCACAGTACACAGTACTCTCAAGGTTGGTTCATTCGCTGTCCTTCTTAAAATTTACCACTTACCTTGTATGCATTGCAAGTTTAGCAGCTATCAGTGAAGATCTGTGAATTCACCACTGGAGAGAAAGTCAACCTTTGCATACCTCCGTTGCTTTTGAAACCTATCATTCTATTGTAATTATTATTGTTTAACCACCATACTGCAGTTAATCATTAAAGAAACGGAAGGCTGCGGGACCTGATGGGTTTCTCTCCATTATTTTCGAGTGTGGTGAATCTCTTTTCAACTCGATTACTAGCTTTCTTCGCAGCATTTGGTCGCTGTAGCGTATCCCTTCGTCCTGGGGTGATCCGTTAATCGTTCCGATCTTCAAGAAGGGATTACGCAACGACTACGCAAACCACTGCGGGATGAGTCAGAGCTAGTGCGTGAGCTGAGGGCGCCTCAAAGTGATGATGTGGATGAGCAGTAGGATCAGATAAGATGAACAATGCATTCCGCATTGAATGTTGCTTGTGGGTCTTAGCCTCAAACCCGACGGAGGCATTAGATATCTGATGAGTCTGTATCACTGATAGACCAAAAACGACTAATTCCTACCTGCCATGGTCAAAACAGAGTTAGCTGGCATCTACAACGTCGGCTGACGAAGAGCCTCAAGAAGGATCATGGGAACTGATGAACAAAGATAGGTAGTGAATTGTAAGTAGCAGCTGCATCAGGGAATAGTCAACGACTGTTGCAACTGCTACGCAAGACGGGTGGTCGGCGAATGTCAGTTAGTGAAACAGTTTACGATAAGAAGGCCTAATTATGCGCGATATGAATCGCCGACTTGATTGCTGGGCGGAATACTTCAGCGAACAGTTCAGTTGGCTTGCCGCTATCCAGGTCACTTCATCTGCAACTGAAACTCCGTGGGCAGTATCATGTGATTCTCCAACAGAAGCCGAAGTTCGGTCTTGCATTCAAGCGCTGAATCGAGAAAAGACAGCAGGACCGGATTAGCTCTCCCACTCTTTTCAAGCTGGGTATGATAACCTCGTAAGCTTCATTGCTACCGTACTACGCAATATTTGAACGTAAGAGTGCATTGCTTCATCCTGGGGCTAATCATTGATTGTTCCCATTTCCAAGAATGGATCTCGCAACGTTTGCGAAAGCCAACACAAGATAAGTTTGATCTCAATCGTCACCAGTGTTAACCTCCGTCATACTTCGATGTTTGCGCCTTTAAGAGGGATCAACATCCATGAACAGCAAACCAGATTCCGACCTGGCCGCGATGTATTGATCAAATTTTTACGATGCGTCAGGTCCTCAAATTGCGTCACATACATTGTCGACCAACAATCGCAATGTTCCTTGGTCTGAAAGTAGCCTTCGATTCAATTGACCGTGAAGCTTCAATAGGTCGGTGCTTAGCAAAGGAATGCCACAGAAGTATGTAAACATAGTGAAGTCACTCTACTCACATACTTGGTAGCGTAAGGGTCTGCGGTGGACTAAGTAGACCTTTCAAAACCAGCGGCGGCGTTCGTCAACGGTGTCGTATTTCACCATTCCTGTTCTATTTCGTCGTAGACAAATTACTGGGGAACGCACTGAGTGGTCTCCCAAGTGTTGGTATTGAATGGGCAGCTGGAGAAAAGCTGTTCGATTTAGAGTACGCTGACGAGATCGTTTGTCTATTTGAATGTAAGGAGGATGCGCAAAGCGTTTTTGACAGATTTTCGAGTTTTGTAACTTCGTTTGCCATGTGATTTTCACCTTCAAAGTGCAAAGGGATACTACAATATTGGTTGTTGTCTACGCTGGTGCTGACACCTGATAGTCAAGAATTAGCAGTAGTGGAATGTTTCACCTACTTAGGTAGCTGCATTTCAAATGACGGTAGCATAGTCAATGAAGTAACCGCCCGCATTTCCAAGACTCCAGCAGCTTACGCAGGATTGAAACACCTTTGGTGTAGACGTGATGTTTCGTTGAAACTGAAAGGTCGTGTATACTGCACCAGTATGCGGCCAGTTCTGCTCTATGGTTGCGAGAACCTAAATTTGCGCGTGGAAGATATTCGCCGTCTTGAAGTATTCGACTGCCGATGTTTACGTAGTTTGGCGCGGGTTGTCGTTCTTCCTTTTCTTTTGGGATTCGCGCTGGGTACGGCAGTCCGGCGTATTTGTGTTTTACCCAGTGACCTTTCAGGCATGTTTGGATCTGCTGCTATGAAAAGCTCACACCCCTAGGACATAATGCTAATTTTTCAACTGTTAAAGTCACCTTCGGTTTTTACTGCCGTTGAACTTATCCACTGTCGAATCGCTTCCCCCCCCCTCTCTCTCCAAACTCCAAAGTTAAAGAAAATTGCAGATTGTAAGCATTCGTATTAGAACCGGCTCATTTATCTTATCTTCATACAGATGACAACTGAATTTGGGTGTAAAGATATAAGTATGAATTATATTCCACAAATTCTCTACATTTGCGTTTAAATTTAATAAACTAAAGTTAATGTATTATGCGGTGTAGCCGTTGATTCCGAAACAAATAAATGGCTGTCCCTGATATATCTCACTACCATCTGTTGCGAACAGCGCTTGAATCTACGTGCCCTTGCACCAAGCAGAAAGAGAGAAGAAGAATGGGACTGCATGCATTCCAGTTGCACCAAATTTGGTTCTTTTAAGACGATAATTTGGGTCTTAGAATTAATGGATCCATACACTCTTTGTTTTTTTTTATTATTGAAATATCTATTATGTTCTGTGAGTCGTTGGAAATCTACTTTATGGATCTGTGACTTTATTGTATGTTAACCAATACCGTATACTTAGTTTTAATCATGTCGAATAATATTGTTGGTTTTTGCCGCAGAAGAGCTCTGCAGGGGTCTAATTCTCCCAGAGAAGCTATCGCGGTGCCTTATTCCGGCCAATGCGCTCACATCATGTCTCATCACAACTTTGGCTCCGTTCTCGGCCCAGTCGCGAGCTCTGCTATGCCTTCCGGCGGGCCGCAAATCATACGCGAGGAGCAAGCACTGGGGTTAAAGGCTATTTATGCTGCTTGCCGCATTCTATATCCGGATCAACCCACACCTTTGCAAGTGACTGCACTGCGCAAATTCTGGATGGGTGGTCCTGATCCGCTAGATTTCATCAACATGTACTCTAACCCCGGCTCACCCGAGCTTGGAAGTCCAGCCCATTGGCACTACGTCACCAATGGATTGTCAGATTTGTATGGCGATTCGCGTCTACACAGGTTAGTTGAATGCATTTACTTGATAGGAGTGATTGTAACACCGAAGTCACTCCACTACTGTGGCATTTTTAGTGATGTCCGAGCCCGAGCACTAAACTTTGATTATGATGTAAAATTATTATTCGTTCTCTGTAATTCAAATAGACCAACGAAAACCGGTGCACAAAAGTCCATGGTTAATGGTTGTACAAGCAAACTGAACTGAACTCTGTAATTCCAACTGCATCGACAATACGAAACTTACAAACACCATGTCGTTTGTCGGATCATAAAGCAATACTCTCATAATGATATTATTATCTACATAAGAAGCCTCAACTAGAGATGATTGCACTTTGTGTATCATACTTACGCAATGGACACATCGACCCATACAATAGAGCTAACAAAACAGTTTCTGAATGTACTCTCCCCTAACCAATTGTTACGCTGATGCCACCGATATTCTATATTAAAAAAGGCAGCTGCGTTTTCTGCCGTAGTACATCTTCTTAAAGAATAGTTTTATTCCTGTCTGAGTTCTAACTTTAAGGATCACATTCACATTCTGGATGCAAATGGTTCTGTCCTTCTGTCAGAATTTCCTATCTTCACTTTTACAGTGCTTTTCATACTACAATCGTTTCTCTACTCTTTCCTCCGAAACAGCAACCAAAACCGCCCTATGAGAGTGCTGTTAATGGTTATGAAAACTGAAATCAAAAACTTAAAATATTATTTTAATGTGGTTGAACAAACAAAACTTTATTGTTCGTTGTAATCTTTTTGTCATCAGTTTTACCCCAATTCCCTTTTCCATTTCCGTCGTGTTGGCACCATAAGTATACATAGTCTTTTTGTAATATAATTGACTCATTACATGTGATTAGGCAGATTAGGTTTCATGTTACTCCGATCTTTCGTTTTACTTTATCAAGCCAATGTACCTCAACTGACGATCCAAGCGGCTTTGGATTTGAACTTACTCTGCGCGTTCGACGCGATCCTAGTGAACTTAATCCACCAACATGGCCCGCACATCTTCTCCAAAGTTTGGCGCGTTATGTTTTCCATTCCCAAGCACAACTGATGGTCGGTGATCATATCCCGTGGCCATCCGCACTGGATAAACCTCCATCAGCCGCTCAGAACAGCACTAATTTTGGTCGATCAGATACCGGCGAGGCAGATGCTCAGTCTATCGCAATGGCTGCAGCTGCGACTGCCGCCTCATTTCTCGCATCAAAATCCGGTGGTCTCAGTCCCGCCACAGGTGCTTTGTCAAATCCATCAACCTATGCATCCATGGTAGCTGCTGCTCTTGCCGCTGTCAATTCAACAAACAAGGACAGAGATACGACACGTAGCGGTGTTGGAAAGTCGACCAAGGCAGACAGTGGATCCCGTATACGTCACATGCTTCTGATTGAAGACCCACAGCTGAAGAGGATTACTACACCCTATGGTTATGTCCAATTCCTTCAAGTAAGTTGCATAATTCTCCTCATACTGCAGGTATGGTTAATTGCTTGACTACCGGTTTGCACCTAGTTTTAACTAAAACTTTACACCGCTATTAATGTATAACGATGATATGATCTCGCATTCGTAGTCGCCATCGATGATACTCTTGGGTTCGTAAGGGATGGGGTTTGCGTTCCATCATCCTACTTTGCAGCTAAGCACGTTTGCAGTCACTTATCTTTCATTCATCAACCGAATCGCCTTTTTTAAAAACTACGTATGGCATGTGCTAATGGTGCTCATATATGTTTTGAGTAAACCTTGTGGTTCGTGCAATTCCTCATTGTCTATTCCGATGGACAATTAGATAATGTGCACAGAGCTGTTCCTTGACAGGCAGATAACTTATCCTTCCTAACGAATATCCTCAACACCCCTATATTTAACAAAAGACTGTCGTTCCGTACCTTCAATTCAATAGGTGTTTTATCAGCTGCTCTTAATGTTTATGCAAATCGGGAACAGTACATTTGGAAATAATTGCTATTGATCAGAGTTTTCTTGGGACTATAGAATTGCTTTGAGTTCACGCGTTAGGATAACCTGAGTTGTATTGGGAGACAACTGCGTTGGGTGATGTCAGTGTCTTTAAACTCTTTCTGTATGAGGCATGTCTGATAGAATAGAACAGATATAGAAACTTCATTTCGGTTCATTTCTACTGTAACTGTATGAAATTTCATTACGAGTCCCCTTGTAAGAAATTTTCATCCTTCCTTAGGTTTAGCAATGTGCTCCATAACACGGTGAAAGTTGCTTTACCGCAAACAAATCAACTCGTAATTTGTTTGCTGGCGCAGTACTGCCAAGTTGCTTCTGTATAGGGAGGCGATTTTTCAGCGATTCACATCGAGGTTCAAAGCGTTACGTGCAAGGGAGGGGGACGATATGTAAACATAAATAAAATACACAAATAAAATTCACTCAAGGCCAGTATACAATTTATTGTATTTTGCGTCTTTTTGACTAGTCCTACCGATTCAAGTTACCACTTAAGCCTCGTAGCCCATTTATACCGGTGACCAACGCGACCGTAATATACTGGAGTCAACTCCTGCGCCTTTCCATTTGAGGTTCAACATTAAGGCTTCCCAACTCTTCCATATGTGCTCGTTTCCTGTGGCACCTAGATTCAGTTCCGGATCCAGGTATTCTGGTTTTCTGTCCTCTAGTGACAGAGATTGACTGTCACCATAAATGCTTAAGAGCCTTAAAAATATTTCCCGGGAGCAAGAGCGGTTTTGGTTACTATCTTTCGGTTACTCATTTCGATAAACATTGAGAGAAAGACAGGAAAGGTTGAAAGTAAGATCGAAGAGAAAATTGAAAAGTTTAGTGGACTAATGATACAGAGCAATTGAAAAGATGCACAAACACCACTGTTTACGACACCCAGCCATATCAATCAGTGGGAGGTGGTGGCCCGGTGATAACGTCACCAAATTATCACCCCGGGGATGTGTTCAAATCTCACCACCACCGCCTGACTTTGCTCATTGTGTGTTGAATGGCAGCCCTTTTATTGGCCGCTTCCCCCTTCCTGATACTTGTACCATTGCGTGTTCAATAAAAGGAAGTAAAATAAAAAGATTTTAAAAAAACTATCGGGTACGACCATCTCGAGGTCCCCATCCAGAGAGCCTAACGGGATCTATGTGGCCCAGACTCCTGGTTAGGGTTTTCATACCCTCTTGCCAGGTCTTAGCTTGACCACCCTTGGCTTTTTTCCACTCGGTATCTGCTTCGGCGAACATCGCTCGCCGTGGTAACCTATCTGGTGACATGCGTAACACATGCCCCAACCAACGTAACCTATGGAGGTTGACCACTTGCTCCAGTGGGCGACCGCGGATACCCAAAACTGCCCCCAACCTCAGCATTTCTCATCCGGCTACCCCACCAGATTCGTGCAATACTGCGTAGACAGCGGTGTTCAAACACCAACAGTCTATCTTCATCCTGTTTTCTTGATGGCCAAGTTTCTGCACCGTATAGCAGGACTGGCCGAACTGTCGCGGCATACACTCGACCCGTCACAGACAGCCGGATATAGATGCCTGAGCGTATGCCCTAAACATTGTCCATTGCAGGTCCTCCGCATCGTTGGCTTGAATATTCCTGAAAAGCTTGTTAGCTAAACCATTTGATAGAGTGTCAGCTCATTCCCTGTTGTCTAGACCGGTGGCATTGGCTAGTCACGACGGTAGATTTTTTCGAGTTTTTAGGTGGATCTGGAGGCAGTAGCCCACAGGAGTATGATCGGTGTCATTTGCAGTCCCAGTTTACGCGATAATCGATCGTGAATGCTCAGTTGGATCGAACTAGAATATAGAATATAGTCAATTTGATGCGATGTTTATCCGTCGTTCGGATTACAAAACAAATTTCTCCTCGGCTGTTGAAAGTGTTCATTGGAAACGACCAAACGATTAGTCAGAAAGCGTGTCTAGATGTTCGTCATTCGCCTATCGACGGTCAATACCAAACGTCCCTAGGATAAGCGGGGCGCTACCATCCCACGGTTCTGTATAGGTATTCCAATCCCCTATAATCAATGGGATGTCGCGTCTTGGTATGCGTTGGACGATAGTTTCGGGCTGGTAGAATTCGTCTTGGGTAGCGGAGTCGGCCGACAGTGTAGGAGAGCTTGTGGTTATATCCGTCAAGTCTACCGAGTAGCTTCAGAATCGGGCCACTGTGATCCTAGAGGAAATGGATTCCCAGGCAATCAGTGCTCTGTTAGCAAAATGAACACCCTGGTTACTGGGACGATACAAAGTGCATCACTTCCTGAGGGATACCGCTGCATGTAAGTGAGTAATAGTTGCCAAAGTTCATGCACTTTCTTGGGAATGTGGTATGAAGTAATGCCCCTAGTATCGTTGGGCTTTTGTTTGAGAGTGTATCCCTAACAAGTACACATCCAGATGCGAGCTTTGGGGTAGCAGGATTATATAATTGTTGGCAGCCNAAAGACTGGCGATCGTTGTTTGACTAATGTAGGCCTCCTGATACCTCACCGTGTTGCCAATGACGGAGCGAGGGGCTTAAACCGTGTTTAGTGGTGGGTCATACTCGCGCACACAACACTGTCCTCAGACTTTTGTTTTTTATAGGGAGTTTACTAGCCAAATAAAAAAAAAGTTAGCGGCCGAACACTCGCTCATCACCCGAAATCACTTGTGGGTGAGATCGAACTTATTCACAGTTAACGGCGTCATGAGGACGTGCTCGGTAGCACTCCCCGTTTAGGGATCCATGTCATACAATGAGCGCGTGATTTGTTCACTGGTAAATGGGTTTGTCACTGAAATGCTGCCCCGTTTGAACCGAGTTAACCTTCCGTCAAGTCCTAATATTCATCGACGAACGAACTAATTCCGTGATTTAGTTGTCGGGTGACTACTTTAGATACACGGATTACCAATACAACCTCATCTGTTGCATGATCTGTTCTAGGTATTCTGTAAATAATGGATTTACTGCATACTATTGTTGCACTCTTAGTGGAACAATTTGTATATCTTTCATTTGGTTCTTCTTTCTGGAAAGATTTCAACGTTTGCATCAATTTTCATTTCAGCTTGTCGGTCTTTGTGATGAAGAGTTACGTCTAGTTCAGCGCTGGACAGGTTCACACGTGGCCGAATTGATGCGTCGACTTCCGGATACCGGAGGAGGGCTTCTCGTAACTGACATGCGACGCAAGCTCAGTCTCTTTGAACTGGAACCACAGTTGTTTGATTATGTGAACGAGCATTTACGTCGTGAGGGTTCGAATCTCTCCGGTGTGACCACACAGTATTTTGCTTGGGCTCCGATCTCATTGAGCACCCTAGCCGAATTGTTACCAGGTGAGGCAGAAGCACGTCGACTTCAACAGTCGGTCAAGCACCCCACCAGATCCGACCATATGTCAAGCAGTGCTCATGCAACCGTGGATCGTTTATGTCAATCCACCCAACGTGCAGATGATTCATGCTTACCGACCGATTTGAGCATGCCCCGATCTTCCGAACCCGGTTCAAGATCACAGCACTCACCAGGACCTACTGCTATGGACACTGATGAAACAGTCGTATCATCGTCTGCAGTAACGAGAAAACCAGTGGACGACGATGAGTTTGTCGATGTCGTGGGAGACAGTGGACCTCCATCTGTGCTAGATAGTAAAAACCCGTCAACTGATTTAAAAGATACAAACCGCGTCCGGGAAAATGTTCCATCCACTTCAGATGATCCAGTCGGCTCTGCGGGAGAAGTTAGTTCCGGAACGTCTCTTACTCACAGTGCATCTAAAATGGTGGACACACAGTCCACCAGTGCACCTGGTGGTTTTTCTCCCTGGTGTGGTCGCCTTGATTCCACAGGCTCAAGGAACCAGGCAGGGGCAGTATGTGAGTTATCAATTCCAGGAATGAGGTTTACAGTTCTGTCGAATCCTTGTGGGGATTCAACAGTTCTATGTATATGCCAAAATTGAAGTTCGCGTTATTGTCAATTTTGAAGAGACTCTATTCTAAAGGCACACTAACTCAGCTGTGTTTGTTTCGTATTTTTTAATATTTCAACACTTAATCAATTACAGAAAACTGGCAAGTGTGCCACAACATGTGAACAAAAAAATGTGGGCACGTTACTTCCCGGTTGCCCTGATCGGGTAAGGGGGCTAACCTCGGGGTCCCCAACCGAAACCTTTGGCTAGAAAACCAGACCTGCAAGACAGCAGGACGGAGCTCAGAGTTCGTGGTCCATTGGGGACCGGTGTCCAGTTCATCAGATCATAGGCCTTTTGGACGGGTGCCCAATACACCTTGATGCTCAATCGAGCCGGTGGTCACTACCATGACCAGGAAGGTGTGTGTGTGTGGTTCGTATGCCTCCTGTTGGGTGGTTTGGAATCAGGGTTTTTAACCAAATTCCATAGGTGAACTGCCAATGGTCCACCAACCCGGATGTCGACTTTTCGTTCTCACTTTGCTGGGAAAACACCACCCCGAGAAGGCAGTGAGTAGGGCTTCCTCAGCAGAGGCTATCTGAGACGTCACACAGGAGCACCTCTCGAGGTGTAAGGAAATGGTGACCAATCACAACCCGAAACACCCACCCCAACGATACTGAGGTTTTCTTATACTTTTCATTTTATCGCTTTGACTATCCATGTTAGGTTAGACTGCGACTTCCTTTTCGGGGTGTATGCGGTCGAACATTCTCCGTGCAGGTAGTTTTCAGGAAAACCGAAAGAATTCCATAGACTTGGACGATAAAATGTAGAATACCAGCTAATTTCATATTTTGGTGTCTACTACACTGGTACTGATAACCCCATTAATGCCTATAGGACCGGTAAAGTTAAGTTCGATATCATTGGGCTAATGATGATAAGAGTGTTTTCTACGATTCCATTTCTCAACGATCCCAGACTGAACCCACTCTTCCAGTGATGTTTCTAGTTTCCGTCGTTAACAGTGATTAGGTGGTGTTTGGTTAACAGACATTTGAATCATCATCATCATTGTACAGCGTAATACAGTGAAGCACACTTCACTGATCGCTGCCAAACTCATTGCGTACAAGGTAAGTGATAATGTGTAAGGAGGACAGGGATTGGACCACTTTTTAGGGACGGGAAAGGAAAGCGAACCTCTATGGTCAACACACAGAGTACACAGTCCACCGTACATACTGTTTCAAGCATTCTGGTCTGATAAGAAGTGACAGCATGATCACTACTGCTGTCGGTTTGCGGCCATGATCTTCAGTGTCTCCAACCATGCGGTTTCGGAGTCTTTTGGATCCCAACCCGGAAGCTGAGAGACACCTACTCTACCTAATCGCTCTGTGCATTTCTTCATGCCTCGTCTCCACGTCATCTGCTGGCCTCCACTTGGCTTTCTCCAACCTGCAACAGCCACTGCGAATAAGGCGCGCTGCGGTAGGCGACCGTCGGACATACGCAACACGTGTCCTAACCAACGAAGTCTGTCGAGCTGGATTCGATGCGGTAGCGAACTCGGCGACGCCCAGTCTTGTAGCATCACTTTGCACTTTGAAGGTGCAAAGCGCATGCCGAACAGAGCGACATAACTTATTAATCTGGCAAGTGCCCTTTGCGCATCCTCCATAGATTCGAACAAGCGAACGGTGTCGTCAGCGTACTCCAAATCGCACAGCTTTTTTCCAGCTGCCCATTCAATACCTACATTTTAGAGACCACTCATTGTGTTCTCCAGTATTTCGTCTATGACGAAATTGAATAGGAATGGCGAAAGAGTGCATCGTTTACGAACACCGCTGCTAGTTACGAACGACCTACTCAGCTCGCCGTAGACACTTACGCTACCAGAAGTATGTGAGTAGAGTGAACTCAGTATGTTCACATACTTCTGCAGCATTCCTTTGCGAAGGAGCGAACTCATAAGAAATTCGCGGTCAACTGCGTCGAAGGCTCCTTTTAGGTCAAGGAACACTACAACCGTTGGTCGACGGTGCGTATGGCGTAGGTCGAGGACTTGACGCAGAGTGAAGATTTGATCGACACACCCGCGGCCTGGTGGAAATTCTGCTTGTTGTTCGCGGACTTTTGTCTCCCTAAACGGTGTCAGACGTCAAAGTATGATGGAAGCTAGTAACTTGGTGGCGATTGGGATCAAGCTTATTCCACGGCGGTTTGCGCAGTCGTTGCGAGATCCCTTCTTAAAAATGGGAACAATCAATGATACACTCCAGTACGATGGAACGCTCTCATGTGACCAGATGTTATGTATTACATCAGCACTGGAGTCTACGAGATCATCACACCCCATCTTGAAAAGAGTGAGAGGAAGCCCGTCTGGCCCTGCTGCTTTTCCTTTCTTTCAGGCTTGGATGTATGATCGAAATTTCGCTGCAGTAGGTCAGATGACACTTCCTATGGAGCCACAACTACAACAGACGATATAGTCTGGTTAACACCTGGCCAGGTGAGCTGTTCGCTGAAGTACTCCGCCCACCGGTCAAGCCGTTGATCCTTATTGTCGCAGATTGTTTCACTAACTGTGGTTCTCCGACCTCCAAGGTTGCGTATCAGTTGGAACAGTCTTTGACTGTTCACTGATGCAGCTACGACTTCCATTTCACTAGACATTGTTGAACACTAGTTCTCACGATCTTTCTAGAGGCTCTTATTGAGTTGTCGTTGCAGATGCCACCCATCCTTGCTTTAATCCCGGGCGGTGGGGATCTACCGCTTTTTCTCCATCAGTGCTACTGACTGATCAGGTATCCAATGACTCAGTCGGGCTACCGCTTCAAACCCACAAGCAACTCTCTAATCTGATCCCATTGTTCATCCAAACTATTACCCCGCCGGGCGTTTAGCTCTTACCCTAGTTTGCATTCAAAACGGGCACGAACGGCTGGGTCAGATAAATCATGATCTGCGAACCGTGTTTGGTGGTTTTTTTGTAACCAGTGAGTTGGAGAGTGAACTGCATCAACACTAATGCATGATAAGATTCAACGCAGGTGGTCCAATAGGACCTGCAGTTTTGCACTGAGCCACGCCAAGGGTAGCTTACTACTATGTGGTCGATTTGAGTTAGCGTACCAGTTAAATTGGAGCGCCACGTTGCTGTCCGTTGAGAGCTGTGGCGGAAGTTGGTGCTGGTTAGGAACAGATGATAATCTGCGCAGAACTGGAGAAGTCGATCGCCATTATCTGTTGGCTGGTAGGGCAGAGCACAGTAACCGCCNTCTGCGGCTTGATAAAAGCCATCCTGTGTAGCTCCCTGGGTCAGAGAGATGCACAAGCCACCACACCACGTCAAGGTGCAGTCTCGTCGTGATGGATAAAAATAGATTGTCGGTGTTCGAACACCGCGGTCTACGTTACATTGCACGAATCAGGTGGGGTAAGTTTCAGTTTCAGTTTTTACAACCATTAACCATGCACTTTCGTGCNGAGAACTACTATATCGGAGCTTCGACCCAACCGAATGAGTTCAGTGAGTTTATCATAAAAGTCGTCCTTTTGTGCGTCAGAACTGCAGTTGGTCGGAGCATACGCTGAAACGATGAACAGATACCTTTTGGTGTTGTTTCCCTTTCGGACGCTGCCAGACCCTTGGAGTCGCGTCGCACATAAGGAACTGTTGACGGGGATCCAATCGAGTAGTGCAACTTCGGCTTTATTGTTGATTATAATGCCGACGCTACACCGGCCTACTTAACGGGCTTGGTCATTATCTGACTCGCGGAGGAAGAACCTCGAAGACAACCCCGTTGCACTTGGCTAGTGTATAGATCCTAGATACGCGTCTCCGATACGCAACAGACATCAATCCCCAAAGAGTCCATTGTACGTGCCAGACATGCTTGTCGACCTATCTGCATCAAAGACCTTACGTTGAAGGCCCCAGATTCAGTGGCTGACGAGGCTTCAGAATCTGCAATCTATTTTGTCGTGAACTATTTACCGGGCTACTTGGTGACGAACTTTGGCGAGTGACGAACAACTTGTCTAAAGGAATGGTATGGGTTAGAAGAAGGGGTAAAGGAAGAGGGTTGGGAACGGAAGACAAAGAGTTAAACAAATGTTGGAATATCTGAGCAGTAGCCCGCTTATCATTACCAACCCCGCTCGACGCAATGGGCGTCGCGGTCCTGATTATCCTGTGCGACGACCGATGCAGTATGGAATTATTTTTTAGTTGTGTATGCATTAGAGTTTGACGGATGGGTACTGCCAGGGTGTCCGGTCACTAAGCAGGAGAACGATTAGGTTCTCGTCAAAGCCTTTAGTTCTGAGAATTACGTAACCGCAAGGTAGCGGGTGAAGCGAAGTAAAGATCCATTTACTTGGATCAGTTACTTTTCTGCCATTTCACCAACTGAAAAGCTAACTCGGGTCGAACCCCTAACCCAGAGGAGCACGAAACTGAACTTCGTCTGACCTCTACACTTTATTTAATTTCGTGATAGATTCAAATCTTGAAACAGCCCTATCCTCGTGCGAGGATGGCGGTATCAATTTACTCTCAGGTGACAAACTGTCTGATCTCGAGTATGCAGACGAAATTGTGCTAAAAAGTGAAGATCCAGGTAAATTGCAAGTTTTACTGGATAGTTTGAGTGTTAGTGTGTCCATGTTCGGTATGCGTTTTGCACCTTTACAGTGTAAAATGCTACTACAAGATCTGGTTGGTCTAGCACCCAGTCTCACCCTAATTTGGGAAGTAGTAGAGGGAGTAGATAAATTTTGCTATCTGTGCAGCTATATCTCACCTGGCGGACGGATCACATATGAAGTTTCGGCGCGGATACAAAAGGCTCGGTCGGCAATTACCAACTTGAGAAATTTGTGGCGCCGTCGCAACATCCGGCTGTCTGTGAAGGGTCGAGTGTATGCTGCAGCAGTTCGGCCAGTGCTGCTATACGGTGCAGAGACTTGGTCACTACGGGAACAGGATAAAAATAGATTGTCGGTGTTCGACTACTGTTGTTTGCGTCGCATTGCACGAGTCTGGTGGGGTAACCGGATGAGCAATACTGGGGTTAGGCGTAGAGTTTTAGGCATTCGCGGTCGCTCACTGGAGCAGGTGATCGACCTGCGTAGATTACGTTGGTTGGGGCATGTGTTACGCATGTCACCAGATAGGTTACCACGGCGTGCGGTGTTTGCCGAGACAGGGAGCGATCGGATATAGGTCAAGGGTGGTCAAACTAAGACCTGACATGAGAGTATGGTAACCCTAACCAGGAGACTGGGTCACATATTTCCCGTTACTCTCTTTGCCTGGGCACCACGAGATCATGGTTGCCGATGCTTAGAGATACTGAGTGATATGGCTGTGTGTTGCAAACAATGGCGCTCATGTATCTCCGCGTGTTTTTTAACACGAGTCTATAAGAATTCTCTATCTTTTGCTTGAAATAGCTTTCAGTATTCCAATTCTCATCCTTCTCTTGTATCCACAGGGACAACCAAAAGACTGCAAACAACACCAGCGCACAAAAGTGCATGGTCAATGGTTTTAAATACTGAAACTGAACTGTGCTGATCGGGAACTCGCTAGCTCTTCGAATCCATCTTATTGGGCTGCGTTGTTTGGGACTCGTTTTGTTTGTCTCTAACGTTTGCCTACCGCACCGTTCTTCATTTGCATTTGCCGCTGCAAACTGGAGGAAGTAATATGGAGGCCAGCAGATTACGTGGAGAAGAGGCATCAAGAAATGCACAGATCTTCTGGGTTAGGGTCTGACAGACTCATCAACTGGATGGTTGGGGACACTGAAGGTCATGGCAGAAAACTAACAGCAGTGACAATCCTGCTGTCTTTTCTGATTGAGTCAGACTACTTTAACTAATGTGTGTGTACTGTTGAGTTGTGTGGTCTGTGTGCTGATCACTTTCCCCCCCCCCTTGCCCCAAATACCCCTCTCCTTACACAATCTCACTACCGTTGTATGCCTTACGGTTTAGCAGCAATCAGTGAAGTTCGCTTCACAGTATTCCGCTGTACGATTATCATGATGAAATTATTTATTTATGTGCACTTATCATTGACTGGTGAAGTTGCAGCTAGTCTAATATATACGATGGTAGCCATATGTTCAGCATTTTTCAAATCGAAAACATGGTGTGAGAGCATTTACTGCACTTTATTAGAATGTGCATTGCTGATCTACATTTTCGGTAACTAAACGGTCGTCATTTGGAACCGCAGTAGTGGGAAGTTGCATGAAGTCCCGGAACCATTTTGCGAGCAGTGCTCGACGAACCAGGCATATTCCAAATGCCCCTGTTTTGCTAGATCGGCTTCGAGTCCCTCGCGTATGGAATGCCCTTTTTGGTGATGGCTGCATGAAAGGTATAAAATGAAGCTTTCTCCCACTGTACTGGACGAGTTGATGTCCTTGTGTAATAAGCTCGGTGTAATTTTCCATATCCTTCTTTAGTTTTTCGGGGACATCGTTGTATAACTTTGGTGGAACCACTTGCTGAAAGCGTTCCCATTACTCCCAGTTCTTGCCATAAGGATTATTTTTATCATAGCGCAACCGATTTGTCAATCTCCTTTTGTGTGTTCGCGGTCAATGCTCAAGGTATGCTGACCTCCTTAATTTCTCCCAGATGATCCTGCTACATGAATGTTTTGTGCTTCACTGAAGAAGTGTTATATGATTTCTAGTTCCCCAAAACAGCTACTTCCGGTTCAGAACGTGTCCAGTAAGCACTCTTGATAGTCCCATTCATTCGCTTGACAAGTGCGTTCCACCTCAAACATACAAGCTGGTCCCACCGATCTGAATGTCGGTTAGTATCGATGATAATAAATAGATTGGGTAATCGATGTGTTTGAATCTGATGGGTATCATTACACGATTGAGGTTTAGTATTCTTCTCCCCCGGAGGACAGTTCCAGTGCAGCTTCCTGATAACTGCTAACATTTGCCTGATGTGTGCATTGTGATTCCGTTCAGCAACAAAACGACTTGCCGACGTCACCAAAATTAGCCACTATATTCATCAAATAGGCAGTGTTGATTGTGGTGTTTACCAGGGTGTTTTATAGTCAATCTCCTTCTATGTCGCACCCCTCGGGAGTTTGAAAAGGTTGGTAGATTCCAGAAACTGCGACATAGCATGTTCATCAGTAGTAAGTGCTATTAAGTAGCATGGAAAATCCGTTCGGAGTTTTGTGAAGAAATAAACTAGATGGATGAAAAGTACGTTAATTCCGTTATTTTTCCCCAGTGTTTATAATTGTGCACTGTTTATTTATAAAGGAATTTAGATATTCCGTCCTATCTATCCTTTATGTATTGAAGAAATTTAAATAGTTTACGATACCCTCAGCTTACATTACTACATTGCATCAGGTATTCATACCTTTTTCAGTTTCATGTGTCTATTTATCCCGAAACTACCTAACTTTCTTCAGTGGATTTTTTTCTAACCCAATTATCGCATATTTTACCATTCCTTTGCAATGTTAAGCTAACCGCAGAATTGAGTACATGGTGTCCACCACAATATACAACTGTTTTAACCATTATAATCACATCATTATTAACCCATTCGATGAAAACAAAAGTGAACCATGTAGAACACGGAACAAAAAGTCGCATTCCAAGGAAAACACGTCATCTAAAATAAGTGAAATATATTACAGGGTATACTCAGGGCATTAATCTCTTTCTCATATTCCAACCTGATGGTTCGCTGTGCAATCTATTCATGATTTTCTGGTGAAAAATGTGTAGCATAAACTCTGTAGGCATCTATTCGTTCGTTCGCCTCTAAAATCAAGAATATAGTGACAACGGCATAATTCTCTCCACTGTCTACGCGTCATTTATTTTTCACACTATCAGTCTACTGTTCACAGTTCCGGGTGCTAAGTAGCTCTCCCGTGGCCGTTTAGGACAATGTGCTCGTGCATGTCACATTAATTGGTAATCCCGGTCATGTTTACTTCATCTTCTGTTGTTTACACACGGTGATGGCAAGGCTGATTGTAATGTTTCGTATCTGTAGGCGAATGGAAATTATGACAGACGTGATTTCTTTTTCGAGTTGGAAATACATGGAGAAAACGAATTAGTTTGACAACAGTGTATCGAGTATGCATCAAAGTTCTATCCGTTTGCATTTAAACTCTGTAGTTTTTGTTCTCCTTATCGTTGTAAGACACAATACACTCTATCATTCCCCACTATTCTTCCTTTTGCGACAGATCCTGCTGCCAGACGATTTTCTGGAACGACTGGAATTTCAATTTTCTTGTCTCATGTACCCTGACGATTTGCAACTTCCGCTAGTTTTTCGCTGGCCTGAACGCCACCTTCGCATTTGTCTGGTCGATCCAAGTCCTAAACCACACCCCGCGCCCAATTTTTACGCGTCAACTGGAGAGTGGAATACGAATCCTCTGCTTCCTAAGGCAATGGCTTTATCCATTCCGGATGCACATGCGACACGGGATGGCACAGGACCTTCGACCGACTCCTCCATTCTAACACCGAACAAACAATTCCCACGAACTACTTCAATGCCCTCCAGTGGCGCTCAGGAACACATGAATTCACCAACGAATTTACCGGCACTGTGCCCATCTACGTTGTCTCTATTTCCTCCAGGGTTCATTCCTCCGCCACCACCGGTACTTGCTGCAATGCTTACGGGACCGCATGTAGACCAGCGTCCGATTCCCGGTACCCAAACGGTTTCTCCCGATTCTATGCGTTCGCCACATTCTACTCAAACACCAGACGCTTTATTGTCGAGTTGGATGAAGTTCTTCGGGAACTTTATGGGTCAACGAGAACCAGCTAACCAAATGACTCAATCTGTGCCTCCTATCCTGAATCCTTTCGCCTCCGAAGCGTTTCAGGCTGCCTTATCAGCCATCCAGTCCCACGGACTTTCGACCATGACATACC